ATAGAATATGTATGGGATGCCAGTACATCTCAGGGCACCACACTCATGGACAATTGTAATAGCCAGCATAGCTAGAGTGGACGGACACAAGAGAATCCAGAGGAAATCCAAGCAGACACGGGGAGAACATGCAGCAGGGGGGCAGTGATGGCTTGGTGGTTAAGGCTCTGGGTTACTGATCAGAAGGTCAGGGCTTCAAGTCCCAGCACTGCCTAGCTGCCACTGTTGGGCACCTGAGGCCCTTAACTCTCTCTGCTCCGGGGCATTGCATCATGGCTGACCCTGCACTCTGACCCCAACTTCCTGACATGCTGTAGTATGCAAATAAAAGAGCTTTACTGTGCATAATTATATGTGATCAATACTCAAGACTCATTATCATCATGCACAATTCTGCACAGAGAAAAACTTCAGATCAGGAGCAGTGAGGCAACAACTGTACCCATTGCACCAATTAAAACAAGTAAGTCATCAAATTTTATTCAATTACATTACATTTCATTTTATTCTGTTTATTCTGTTTGTCATAATAGACATTGTCACAAAGCATCTTTAAGAAAACCAAATTTAGATTTTAAGCCCAAGCCAGAGGTGATGACTAAGAAGACATGAGGAAGAAACCTTCAGAGGAACCAGATTCAAAATGGAACCCATCCTCTTTTCTAAACAGACATTCTGGATCACATGGGACTGATGTTTATCCCAAGGCTGTATAGCAAAATGGAAGAATGATGTGACCTTAGAGCATTGAACAGTAGGTCAAACTTTATTACAAGATTTGAATAGAAGTAGGTTGTGCAATATGAGCTTTTCAAATGTGTCATTTGTTAGGTGATGATTTGCTCTCCTCGAAATGATTACAGACTAATCCAGTGGCATTATGGCCTTGGTTGGAGCTACTTGGAGCATTTCTCTACTGAAGGAGCAGATTAATGACCTGACCTTTCATTTCTGTGGAACACAACGTGTGTGGAGGAAATGGAGGGGAAACAGAGAGTTGATAGTAGAAAAAAGTAGGATCGAATGAAGAAAAAAAAAAAGGAAATACAGAATTGTTTGGAACAGGATAGTGAGTGCAAAGAGTCAGGTCAGCTTATATTTGAGAGAGAAAAAGAGCGAGGAAGAACCATGCGGAGGAGGCAATGATTAATCCCTCTGCTGGCTCCTCTGGTCTGATGTTAGTGTAGCTGTTTTCTGGGCTGTGATTGTTTTTAGGTCTGTGATTACACCATCGATGCATCACATTCCGCCGAAATGATGATTGATTGCCGCATTGCAACCACAGTAATCCACTTAGCATGGAATTTTAATCTAAATCACTATTATTTATGCACCTAATTTCACTCCACATCGTTCAGAGAAACCATGGGTAATCCATCTCTTCCTTTTTTTATGCTAATGCAACAGACTCTGGCCAGATATTGCATTCTTCATAAATAACTCATGGATATGTGTAAATGCTCTAACCACGCATGCAGATACAACTCTAAGCAGAACATGAATTGGAATAATCTAATTGGTACTACGGGTGAAGCATGTGAGAGAAAGCCCCCGACATATAGTTCAATGCAGTGCTTCATTATGTCATTGGGTTACTGTAGCTTCATTGACTCTAGTGACCTATTAGCAACAAGAAACATCCATTCTAATTACAACAGGGCTGCAGAAACAGGCTGGGATGTGGCTTGGGTATATATAATGCTAGCCCTGATGATCCTCTGCAGAGGCTTTGTATCCTGGAGCCACGCTAACAGCCTCCTAGCAGTATGTCTCTCTGGAGATGTCGTTAGCACTCAGAGCTTGACTGTAGCTGCAGGCATACGGCTCTTTGTAGTTAGCTAGCCAGCGTAGCACGGCATGTTATCCCACTCCTATCTTCACCATTAGTCCCCAGGAAATGTGTACTCAGTCTTTTTCTGTCAATCAAACTCTTTTGCTGGCCCCTGGGCACAGATGAAGGTCTTCAACACCTCATCCATCAGCATGCAGTTCAGCCAGATTTCAAAGCTAAGAGTCAGACAAGACACACTCCTCTGCCACAGACAACACTTGGGCAATCGCTTGGGCATAAAGAAACTGTTAAACTTCTAGAACAAATGATTTGTTGGTATATTCTCACATGAAATGTGAAACCAACTGGAAAAATACAAACAACTGTAAGTCGTGATGTAATGACTTAAATGTATTAAAAAAATTTATTCCTTTGTTTCTAATCATTTTCCATAGCAGCAGTGCATGTTCTCATACATCCATCCATTTTCTGTACCGCTTATCCTACACATCTCAGGGGACTCAGGGCCCAAGGCATGGGACAGCAAGGACAGAGTGCCAACGCATCACAGGTCACAATCACACACTATACATGCCAATCAGCCTACAACGCATGTCTCTGGTCTGGGGGAGGAAAATGGAGTACCTGGAGAACATGCACACTCCGCACATGCAGGGTGGAGGTGGTAATCAAACCCAAAACCCTGGAGGTGAGAGGCAAACATGCTAACCAGTAAACAACTGTGCCACCTGTACTCATTCATTCATTCATTCATTCATTTATTTAGTAAATATTTCATCTTGGTTAGAGTTGTGGTCTGAGAGCCAATCCCTGTAACACTGGGCACCAGTATAGGATGCCAATCCTTTGCAGGACACCATGCACATATAAGTTCTCACACTGGTTCAACTGAGCATAACGAATCCATGTAGCAGCAAGGAGGACGTCTGTATAATCAGTAACCCGAGCTCTGGTTTGAACCAGGGACCCTGGAGCTGTGATACGGCACCACTACTTTAAATTCAGCACTCTGAAAATTTCAAGTAATCCAAAACAAACTTTTGTTGCAGCAAGAAGCCGCATTTATTGTCAAACTTTCCATAAAGACACGGCACGCATGAGTCTTGTGAGAGGGAAGCAAGTAGATAATGTTGCTTTGGCATTAGAGTTACATTTGCTTTGATACTTTCTTAAAGGTTAAGGGGCAAGATTGCAATCCACTGCAGCTTAGATCTGAACTTATAACCTTATGATCTATAGTACAAAGCCTTAACCACTGAGCCACCACTTCCCTCATGATACAGCACCTCTGGAGCAAAGAGGTGATAAGGGCCTTGCTCAAGGGTGTAACAGTAGCAGATTGGACGTGCCAACTCTCAACTTTCTGACCAGTAGCATTTAACAACTGAGCCCTCACACTGTACAGACGGACACAATTTTAATATTTGGATACTGATAATAGGGAAATTTGGCCAAAAGAACAAACCTCACTGAATTATTCAGTGATTATTTCTGCACCGAAGCAAAAGCGGACAATGATCCGTTGCGGAAAGAACAATGATGAGGCTCGTGTTCGTAAGTAAGTAGATTAGGAGGTAGGATGTGCGTTCACTTGATATAGCCTGTCATCACACGATAATATTAAATCAGGTTTAGGTAATTCCTACTGAGATAATGTTATGATGACAACAAAGTAGTTTAGAGTCCAAATCTATTTTATAATGTAAATAGGAGGAATTCTAATGACGTATGAAGGACACTTGCTGTTTTTGTAATCTCTTATTATTAAACACGGAATGATTTGCTGAATAAAGACTTAGACATAGTATTAATGGTCATATTTATTATATTTTATATCTTGTTTATTGCAAATTAACTCAAATGAAAGTTAAATAATAGTTGCTTTTAGACATTCAGTGTATTGATGTCTTTTAATAAACTTTTAAATGCAATTTTCTCCCTTTTCATTTTAAAGGTGTAGTAGTCTTTTTTGTTACTTGTACTATTTTTTTTTTTACATTTATTTCTTACTTCTACTTATGTAGATGTGTTTGTTTTATGTACTTGTGTTTACATAGACCTCTTTTTATGCACTAAAAAAAGTTAGTTCAATTGTGTACATTGGTTCCAAGTGACTTAAGTGAGTAATATTAACACACATTGTTTAAGTACATCCAACATGAATTGATCATGTATTTCCAAAGCCCAAATTATAACCAAACTGCAAACCGTGGTTTAAACATAAGACACTGGTGTTCTGCAACAGTTATGCTATCCTACCGCATATGTTTTAATCATTAATTTAATACTACAGTTATAGTTCTCGTCAGTGGCAACATCCCAGCAAGAATTCATAATGGATTGGGTTTACAGGAATACTACATGAATACCCGATCACGCTCACTCGATGTGTTTAAATTGAAATAACATTTCGATAAATGTTTTTAGGTGTAATGTTTTTTTCTTACATCTGACTGACCACATTTCATTATTTTTTTCAGTGACATGCACTACTGGGAGGTTGTGTATCACGTGGTAGGGCGGGTTGTCCACTAATTGTTGGGTTGGCGGTTCGATTGCTGGCCCGCACGACTCCACATGCCGAAGTGTCCTTGGGCAAGACACTGAACCCTAAGTTGCTCCTGATGGCAAGTTAGCGCATTGCATGGCAGCTCTGCTACCATTGATGTGTGATTCTGTGTGTGAATGGGTGAATGAGACACAGTGTTAAATGCTTTGGATAAAAGCGCTATTTAAGTGCGCCATTTATCATTTACTGCTCCTTTACCCTACCCCTTCTGAGTCTGTTCAGAGAGAGAGAGAGAGAGAGAGAGAGAGAGAGAGAGAGAGAGAGAGAGAGAGAGAGAGAGAGAGAGAGAGAGAGAAAAAAACATGGCCCAAACTGGTAAAACAGTCACAAGAAATCAGTAAAACCCAGTAAAAGATTGGCAGCATTTTTCCAAGATTTAGTAAATTATAATACTGGTGAAGGATGATGCTGGATGTTGCTCCTGCACATGAATGTACATGCTATCTGCACAAAGAATCAATTAGATATATTTTCATCACTTAACTAACTAGCTAACAAAAGATGATACAGCTTATAAACTCATATGAGCTTGTTACACTTGAAAACAGGACAGTGAATGCTCTATTGACCATTCTCATTAACCAGTATTATAGTCAAATTGTGCATGTGCCTGAGTAGCTCATACAATAGAACATGAGGGCAGTGGTAGCTCAGGTTAGGACTTTGGACTTCTGATCTGTAGTTCATGAGTTCAAATCCCAGCTGCCGCTGTTGGACTGTTTGAGCAGGGCCCTTAACCCTCAACTATTCAGATGTACTGTATAAATGAGATAAATGTAAGTTGCTCTGGATAAGGGCACCTGCCAAATGCCTTAAATGTAAACGACCCTCTTAATCTCAGTACCCAGTACCATGCTGGGCTACAATTGCACAAGTTCAAGCACTCTCAGTGTTGGTCCCAACCCTGGATAAAATGGAGGGCTGTGTGTAAAACCTGTGCCAAAAACCATATGATAGATGATCTGCTTTGGCAAAATTTGAATGCTTATAGCATTATAACTTGGTTATCAAGAAGCTGAACGGCCTACTTCACAATAGTCAGTCATCAGTAGCCAGTAAAAAAATACAAAAATCTTGTTGAAATCCACCTTTTTAACTGCTAGAGACCTAATCCTGACTAATCTTGCCTAGTGCACCTTTAATGAATACCCAGACTTGCAAACACATGCTATAACTTTACTTGTGGTTGAGATACATTTAAAAGACAAACATATTTCAGTCCAGGAAAGTCTGTAGCTGTTACAAGAACTATTTACATTATATAAATAAACAGTACACTCTGAAATTATTGGAAAAGCAAGCCCAATTCATTTGTTTTTGCTGAAAACTGGAAACTTTTGGGTTTGAGATCAAAAAATTGTTATGAGATAAGAGTTTAGAATGTTTCACAGATGAGCTTGTATGTTTTGGGTCATGAGCAGATATTTTCTTTCTCTACACTTTGGCCTTTCCGTTACTTTGGTAGAGGTTAATCTTGGGTCCAGAACTTTTGTGGCTCATCTCTGTAGTTATTTGTGAATTCCAATCTGGCTATCTGATTCTTACTCTTGTTAATTGGTTTGAATCATTATTTCTACTCTCAAAGTCTTCTTTGAAATGGTGGATTGTTATACCTTCACTCCTTCAAGTTTGGAGGTTTTGGTGATGTCACGGACTGTTGATTTTTGGTTTTTCTTCACAGATGTCACAATGTTTCTGTCATCAGCTGCTGTTGTTTTCCTTGGCTGACCCAATCGGTGTCTGTTGCTCAGTACACCACTGGTTTCTTTCTTTTTCAGGACATTGCAATTTGTTGTAGTGGTGATTGTATTTAGGCTTTTATTAACATAAAAGTTGTGTTCATTTGTGAAAATGATCTTGATGGACAAAACGTGTTAGTGTTGTAAACTTTTGTTGATCACAGAGCTTATTTTTTGCAACAATCCAAAAGCCTATGGGAAAATCCTATTTTTGTTGAGGGAACCGGTGTGATGCTAACTTCCGGGTTCCGGTACAAAATAGTGTCAACCGATTATTTGGTAACGTCTCTCCTCCTCTAAACACTGTTATTGTCTTTTCTGCATACGCCTGAATTGTTTTCATTTGGTTACATATTGTTTTATTGGATTGCATATTTTCATTTGGTTGATGGCATTTTTATTTTTACTTATTTTTTATTTATATTTTGCTTCTACAAGTTGATGCCCATTAAGGAGCAGTCTAATTTGATGAGAATATTTGTACATTAGCAGGAATGTAGCACAACATGGAGGTGGTCTGTTTATTTAAATGTGAAAGTACAATAAAAAGATGTTGTCCTTAAAATCAAAAATAATCGCAATGATCATTTAGCCCATAATCGTCACACATCTTCTTCCTGGTTGATTCATAACATTTCATAACAGACTGGAACGTCTTAATTATTGACCTGATGGTGGAAATGGGGATTTTCAATGCTTGTGCTATTTTCTTATAGCTACTTCCCATTTTGTGAAGCTCATCAACCTTTTGCCACAGCAAGGGTGCCAATATTAGTGGAGGGCACTGTATTTATTGTTTAAACAACCAATGCAACAGGACACACTTGGGTAAAAAGAAACACCTGTCAGCCCTATATTTACAAATTGAGCGATCTGATACAAAATGTGCATTTAAACCATTTACATATAAATCTCAGGAAATAAAAGCCGAAATTCTAATAATCTCAAACCTAACTGTTTTCAGACTACAGAAAAAAGACAAACAGAGAATCAATGTTGTTTTTTGGACAGTTTCATTTCCCCACTGCTGGGGCTTAGATTTAATGTCAGTCCATCCGTCCCTTCATTCAACACAACTCAAATCAATTGGGTGCATTTCAGTGAATTTTAGTAAGCATATTCATGCTCAGAGGATGAATCCTGTTGATTTTGTAACCTCATGACCCTTCCCTCTAGTTTTATTTATTTTTCATCATTGAAATAACATTATTTGAAGGAACAAACCTGATGAAAAATCACTGTTACATTTCTAATTTCAAAATTGATTCAGTGATAGTTTTGTTGATGCATTAACATTGATTCAGTGTTGATTCAGAGTTGATTCAGTGTTGGTCAGCTACAGTATCTTGCCATTCCAAAAGTTTCAGAGGGGACTGTATATACACTAATCCCGTAATATTTATATCCACTAAACCATACGGATTTGTCACAACACTGCAAATTAGTGGGCCAATTATGTATGAGTGCAACTTTGTCACAACTAATCTGTGTTAGAACAGACCAATATGCAAAGTGTGCATGGACTGGAAATTAGGTCACAGTGTTTGATGAATAATAGATGCTATCTAACAAATATTCATATGCTGACTTTGGCCAGCTGCCAAGTCCACTCCCAAGGATGAGGCTAGTCTTCCTGTCACTATACATTCCTCTAAGGGATGGGAATGAGGAGGATGACAGTGTCCCCGCCCTGTCCTTGCACAGTTACACTATACATACAGTACAGGGCAACGGCACTGGCGAGCGTCTCAGTGGTATCCTCCATACAGTAAGGTGTTCTAATTGTGAGTGGCTTTAATAAATGTATTTAAATTTACTTCATTGTATATTAAGAATCAAAACTCAGGGTTTAAACTGGAGCTCAAGATCAGATACTAGATGAGTAAATTTGCACATCATGAACAAATTAGACAGGTGTTTTATATTTTGTGGTCTCCTGTGAGAAATATGATGTGATCTCCACGTTATAAAAATAAAACCTCCGTGCTCTTGAATGCAGATATCGTAAAAATTTCTGTCAGCAAGTTTGTGCTTATAACATGGCTCAGAGGAATAAGCAAAGTTCACTATTTAAAATAACAAACATGCTGTCTCAGGCTGCATATGCTAGTGTATTATATTTTTATGCTGATTTAGAAAGTTTACAGAGAAGATCACTGCATTAGATCACATTTATTAATAATACAGCTCTTTCAAATCATCCGTCTTGATCCTTCTCTCAGTGGAAACAGCTCGTGTGGTGTAAGCCCCCCCATTTAAGGCATGGCATAAACAAATGAATCTTTGGTGTCATACTGGGCCATTTATGAATAAATGAGTGGACGTTGCATATCTATTCCACAGTTATAATAGACAAACTTGCAAAGTCCACATAAGTTGGAAATTAGGTCTCTGTTTGATTAATAATAGATGCTTTGTAATGAGTTTTGCTTGGTGTTGACTCCAGAGGAGGAATCTGGTTTTCCTTCATCTCTACGCTCCTCTGAAGTGAGGTCTGGAGGAAGATGGCCACGTACCAGCCCAGCCCTGGCACTCTCGTACTGGACATGTGTGTAAAGGCACGGCACTGGGGTAACACATGGTGAAGTGCAGCTCAGGGCACGGCTCCTAGTGAAAGCATATTCATACACACTGAGGAACCAAGGGAAGGTGTCCTTTGTCCATATCATCAAGCTTCAAAGGCAGAATGTAAACAGCAGGGAGTCTGTATAACCAGAGGCTAAAATAGCCCCACACTGGGACGCAATCCTACATGCACATGGTGGCCAAGGACAAGGAAATGCTGCAAAACCACTTATTATGCTTAATAATGTCTTACATTTTCCTCATTAAAATATTAAATTAAAAATATGTGGTATGATTGTACTCAAAACCATAGCTATTTGTTTTTATATTTAATAAAATTGTAATAATACAGCTTCATTACAGTACTATACCTGGAATTCATTCTTGTAAGTCAGTTCATCACTGCCATAAGATAAACCATCATTTATCTCATTCTTCCTCACACAAGATTCGAAACACCAGCTACTCGTGACAGGGAGTGTGTTTCCCTGAGCAAAGTAATCTGTTAATTGTAAATTTTGGCATTGAAATTACATGCATTTAAGTAGTATGGTAATGGGTAAGCTGTTAAAGCGGCACTGCTTATTAAATAGGGGGAAAAGCGCAGCAGGTAGTGTTACTGCCTCACAGCTCTAGAGTCCCTAGTTCTATCCTGATAGAGTGTGTGAAGTTTCACAAGCTCTCCCAATGTCTGTGTTGGTTTCCTTAGAACTCGCGAAAACAGCCAGGTATTTGAGTAGGATTGCTACAAGTAGTGAAGTTGAAGTGAAGATCATTTTTCAAATAACTTGGTAATAGCATGCTTCTTAAATTATTTTATACAATATACTGTGTAATAACTAATCACTAACTCCTTCAAACAGAATGCTTTAATAATTAATAACTTGAAGATAGGATTCTATGAACTTTTTTTTTTTTAACCTCTTTTCAGCTGGAAACTGGCACATGGATGTTTAAATAGAGAAAGTTGCAGGGAACCAGATTCAAGCTTGTGGATAGAAGAGTACAGAAAAGATATTGATGCCGGATATCTGATATCTAATTATGTTTAATGGCATACATCTATTTGTCTAAAATCCTGGCATCTTTATGAGTATTCTTTATTTCTTGATCATCATTGTATGTTGGAATGACCAATCTGAAATCGGATAATTGCAGGTGGACACATTTACTGTATGAACAGTTCTGAAAAATTTATTTTCTGAAAAATTCAACTTATTTGAATTTTCACAGACTTAAATGTAGATAAAGAGAACCCTATTAAACAAATAAGTCAAAAATATTATACCTGGTCATTTATTTTTTGAGGAAAATGATCCGATATTAATTATCTGTAAGTAGCAAAAGTATGTGAATAACTGCAACTAAACGTTTCCAGTAACTGTTGATCGGTACTAAGCAATAAG